CTTCACTTCTCTTTATTGGTGCAGCATCATCATCCAGCTACACATTGTGTGTGTGTGTGTGTGTGTGTTTGTGTGTGTTTGTGTGTGTGTGTGTGTGTGTGTGTGTGTGTGTGTGTGTGTGTGTGTGTGTGCACTAGACTTTACAGTCTTAACCTCAGAAGAATCACTTCTCATAATGTTCCTATTAACTCTTGAGCTTTTGTAGCTGTCTCTCTCACTTCAGGGGTCATATACTCTCAAAAGAATCTCTTTAATGGTCAATCAAAAGGATTAAGTCTTGTTTGTGGTCATATCAAAACCACAGAATGACATAACATAGTGTATTGCAACTTGCACACTATAACACCATTATTATTGTGTATCAAATGAATACTTCTGTAATTATTATTTGCCCTCGTCCCTATTTGTTATGATTTAGTTTCAAGATTTTTTTTAAATATTTTATTTTTTAAATGATCTAATTTATCATCAGAAGAGAGCTCTATAAATAAAGAAGATTATTAATCTCCAAGTATTATGTTAAAGGCACATATATTTTATTGGATCCCTTGATCCAAAGGCTTGTTTATTCCCATTATTGTGAAACTGGCTTGATTCCACTCTGTTCCTCTGTGATTCATGGCATCGTCCATCTTGTTATGTATCAAGGCTTAGGCCGGGCCCGTCTCTGAAAAAGCTAATTAAGGGCACTGTTGTCCCCTTAATTTATTTAAAGTATTTATGGGGCCCAGTCGTGTGGGCTTCTTTGTTTTGTTGTGCTAAAAGGGTTTGTCTGTGTGCATCCCAAGGACCAAAGGTAATAAACTATTATGTGTTTTGCCAAAATGCATGGGTATAAATACAGTACGAAGAGCCAAAATACATTTGTGAAAGTACAGAGCTTTCTTATGGCGGATGGAAGCATATAAAGAACAGGTGTAACTAATATCATTATTGGTGACTCAGTTCCACGTAAAGGTCCAGTGCGTAACATTAGGAGGATCTTTTGGTGGAAATAGAATATAATATGCCTAATTATGTATTCATTTGTGTATAATCAACTGAAAATAAGAATAGTTGTTAATAGTTGTTATCTTACGAACCTTTTATAGCAACATACGCCCTGGGTTGCCTTACATGGAGGCTGCTGTGTTGACCCACCACGTTTTTACATGCTTTGAAGATGCCCTGGTAGCTCACCTGGTAGAGTGTGCTGCCCATGTACAAAGGCTGTGTCCTCACCAAAGCCAGGGCCCGGATTTGCTTACAACCTGTGGCCCTTTGCTCCATGTCATCCCCACTCTTTCTCCCCACTTTCCTGTCACTCTTCAGCTGTTATCTAATAAAGACAATACCCCCCCGACACACACACACACTAAAATAATCTTTACCTTTATCTTTTACTTTTCTGTGACAAGTCTGTTCTTACCCAGTCAAATAAATTTTGCCTTCTCAGTTTACATGTGGCCACGTACTTTTTTCTAAATTTGCATTATTTTGAAGAGAGAAAAATGTAACTCATATAACATAACACAACAAAGTGACATTTGTATTTGCTGATACTCGCATTATGAAAAATCCACAACAGCTTCATAATGTAGAACTGATGTTACCCTCCTTAAACCACAGTGATAACATCTCTGTCCCACACACTACTTTGCGGGTCCTTTCCTCCACTTTCTGGCATGTAGGCTAATCACACAAAACAAATCATCGTCACTATGACTGTATGTGGACTACAACATGACGCCAGTTATGATGACAGCTTACTGCATCTGCTATGTATTACTGGAAATGTGTTAGTTCACTGACACAATATAGTAGGAAAAAGAGCTCGCAAGCATGGGATGCCCTGTTTACTGGGATCTGATCTGGGGTCTTTAACAGCCCACATCAGAAATTATAATTTTTTTATACAAACAGACAAATATGATTCGTTTTTCACTCTTTTGTTGGTCTGTACATCTAAACTAAAGCAGTAACTCTATTACCACTATACTGTGGTATCTGAAGGCCCACCACAGGCTGGTAACCACCAAACACAATATATCACTGTCTCTTTTCTCTTTAATTTCATTCATTTTTCTTTTACAGAGAGTAAGCATTGCTACACACCAAACATTGTTAAACTCCCAAAGTTGATTTCAGAGTTATGTTGCAGGAAGCGAATAGCTTTTGCTGTATCAAAAATTAAACACAGATAAGCTAAGCACTTTTGACCGACCGATCTCCATTCATTAAACAAACTCTGATCTTATAAGATACTTAAAGATGTTCAACTTTGTGAAAGCTCATACTTTTCCAGAGTCAGCCTCCCTCAGGACATGGTTTGCACGATATATGGAGCTCCTCTGCTTAAGGGGTTATTTCATATTTCTGTGATCTTGCAGAGAATGTGACAGCTTTGGGGGAAATACAGTGGAAATGAAAGATTACAGACAGTGTGTTCAGATCAGTAGTGGGAGGAAACGTTAGACATAGTTAAGAAAATGCTTTTTGTCATTCAACTCATGGGGTTTCACAGAGTTCACATGAGAAAAAAACGTTAAATTTTTTTTATATATATCCAGCAACATCAGACTTCTGCAACATGAAGGTACAAACGGTGTCCTCAGGCGACTCAGCCTATGTGTTTTTTGTCCTTGCCTTTGTGCCCCATTAACAGAATATTTTAAATCCTTGTACATAATAATCTAGAAGAGGGATACATGTACATAAAGTGTCTATTGTTCTACCTTTTTCTTTATCCACAGAGGAATCCTTCTTTCCATTATCGATCTCTTGTGTCATGATGTTTCTCTCTTTTTACTGGAAAGAAGGCATAGATTTCATCTTCATATAGTACCAAGACAAAACTTGCATATCTGCTATCTTCTGCCTGCCACCACAGATGTGAGATAGCTTGAGACCTGCAGTTACAAGTCGAGGAGATAAAGTTTTAAATTCCTACTGGTAGGAAGTTTTTGTTTCGACACATATGTATGTAGTATGAGTCAGAAAGTGAGCTTTCAATGGCTGAAATAGAAATATCTGATTTGACCACAATTGTCCTACAAAGAGGAGAGGGAACATGGGTTTAAATACTAGTAAGTAAGTAGAGAATAGTCATTGTGCACAGTTACACAATTCCAACGAAAAACCTGTTTATTTAACAGATAACTGTGACTGCATCCCTGAAACATTTTTACTCTGGATCAGATGTAATTTTCTCCCAAATCTCTCCAGAATTTTCAGCAACTACCAGATGTGTAAATGTTTGACACTCCAGAGAATGATTAGTAAAACTTGATGATAGATGATGTTACACAAACATCTGTGTGTATTAATTTGTTGTGTATGTGCATATTATGTATTATAAACTAATAATGTATCCTAAAATGCCAACAGGTCTTTTTTATTTCTACATTTTTAACATTGACGTTTGACAAACTGGATTTAGACATACAGTTTAAAGGGTGTATTCAGTCAATCATTCAGTTCAGTCCTTCGAGATTCACAACTTACCATCCTTAAGAAAAACGCGAAAAGAAAGTAATCCAGCATTGACAGATGGTGTCATGGGTCATGTGGCTGATTTGCTGACTTTAGCTAAGTATAAAAGTAATGTAGATATCTAAATGAATTAAGACTTATTCACGCAGCCAGGCAGCAGAGAGTGTGGATGTTTCCAGCAGTATGGGAAGGGGCAGACAGACAGTCTTTACCACACAGGAGATGAGAAGAAAGACAGAAGTGAAGCCAGACTTCTGATTGATTTCAGGAAAGCCACAGGGCCCACACAGATTAAAATACATGCTCTCCCTCTCTTTTCCAAGCTCGAACACACACACATACACACACACACTCTTCCCTGAAGGCAGGCATGTAACTCTTTAGTGCACCGGGTCAGACGAGGATTGGTTACATGAGGAATTCCCTACTTACTCCTGAAAGTGACAGCTGGATTAGCCACATGTTCAGCCCGGGGGTAAAACACATGTTGATGATGTGCGTGTGTATGTGCGTGATTGTATGGAGGCTAATATGCTTGTAGGGCATATCA